AATATTTTCTTAAACACAGGATAAATTCAAAAACTTGCGATGGGAGACAAAATCATTCAGGATTTGAAGTAAAGTCAGTAAGGACAACATCAACAGAAACAGAATCAAGAAAAAGCATGAAAAAAATTCATATCTGGACATATAGTATAAAAAGGTGTTTGAATTTTAACCAACTTTCCAGTTTCCATCATTTAAATGATAAGATTATCTCAGTATTTTGAGAATGAGATTATCTTAGTATTTTATACCTATCCAGAATTCTGCTAATGCAGAAAAAAATTGTGGAAATAATCTTCTTGTAATCATAAATTTATAATATATTTATCCCAACTTGAGCATAAGAAAACGCTTCTTTAATTAGGCTAATTCAACTTTCTAAAATTCTAATGCAAGTTACTCACTAGTTAGGTTTCTAATCACAATTTTACCCAAATTAGCCAATTAATTCCAGTGAAGTGATAGTGAGTGAACAGGCAACACAGTTATAAACTTATACAGCACATATTTCTGCCTTAACACTAAAGCACGAGCAGTCGGTAGCCTATATTTTTCATCAGAGTTGAAGTAGGTATTTCACTTTTGAAACTAACTAATGTAGTAGTGACAAAGTGACTACTAGTGAGTAGTGAGTAGCAAATAGAAATGTTGGCAAACTACGGTACTTATTGATGACCTTTGTCTTTGACTTGAAAAAGGTGCATCTACCTACCTAATCTAAAAGGTGCATATTGAACATATTAGCAGATAGGCCTACTGATAGTCTGATAGCAGCCATGCAATTTCTTTTGTATCTAAAGTATCAGACTTTCAGTTGTATCACTTGTATGGAGATAAAGTTTACTACAAAAGGTCTACAACATACAAAATTTTAATATTAACGATATTGGAAGTCTTTGATGTTAGTTATTGCATTGTGGACTGGTAACAACCAAGTGGCAAATAGGCCTACCAACCAATCCATTTTTACACCCTACGATACGAACTAATAGTTGGACTTGGAAATGCTGAACGATCCGATCAGCTGATGGTTCCGTTCAACGCGGAGGAATTGTTCATCACATGGTTGAACCATGGGAAAGACAGCAGATGAATTTGAACAATAACTGTTCTCGCGGCGGTTGATAATAACTTGATATGAAGTCTTCTAAGGCATTGCTGAGTTAAAATTATTTGATTCCAGCTACTATTTTAAAATAACTTGGTCGGTCCTATATTGAGACAATTCGCCACTTTCTGTATCTTGGTTACATGTTATTAACTGAGAGCCAGCATACACGATCCGACTTTATTTTCAAATGTAATTTTTCAAGACGTCCAACATGTTTTCCTTTTTATGCTAACTTTGGATTGTGGCTTCGCTTGCGAACGGCCGTGAGCATATAGATAAAATATCAATTGCAGTACAATAGTTGAGTTCATAACACTAGTAATGTGCGGTTACAGTATCTTCGAATTAAATAGTCAACTTAACCAGCTTGGAGATTCCAGATTAGAAATTTGCTGTGACGACGTCTGTTGGGAAGCCTACTCGAGTTGCGTTGGAATTGTATGGATGCCGGAAAATTAAACAACTTCATTGGCAGACCGCTTAAGCTTTTGAGAAGAAACTGGCAATAGTTGACTCGTTCAATGCCACCACAGGTGCCAGAAAAATGTTATTAACTTTTATAGCAGAAAGATTTATGAATGGTTGGAATCTTACATTATTGTTGAGTTCCACGAATGTATCGCTGAGATATAACTTTCGTGTGCAAGTTTTGATGCCACCGATTGCGTACCAAAATAATTACTTCATGCAACCTGTCTTCGTTCTTAAAGGAGCTCCGTCTGAGAGTAACGGATCCTTCTGGGATCAAGGTAATATTTTCGAAAATTTAATGAGTAAAGCAGCATCTCTACAAGCTTCATCGGTGATCACAGCACTACTGAGCGGATCCAATTGGCGAGTGATGGGAAATTACACGGGAGCCGCCATAGTAGGTCCTGTTCTCGAAATTTTGTAATATTCCAGTCCATGGGAAAGAACTGTCGGTGCGTTCATCCAAGAGTAAGCTGTCATTTCCTTTGTGATTGAATCAAATCCGGTGGCAGCTATAACGTGGTTTGTGAATCAAACCCCAATAAACCCGGGACACTCGTCCAAGCACGGTAGATTAGCAGCTGCACCATTGATTCGGATTAATCGAAATACTTTAAGAGCGGATTTAATCGTCAGTAATGTCACCATTTAGGATCAATATTAAAAGTTCTCCTTGAAGGCGGCAAACTCGGAAGGCACACTCTTCATTACTTAGCAAATCGTTGTAGCTCCAATTTACAAACTGTTGTTCTAGTTATTATCTTACAGTTTTAATGCCATTCTCCTAGCTTTATTTTTTTACACTTTATTTAGGATATTTTTGCTGATAATGTCATTCGTGTAAAAATCAAAAATCATTCATTAGAAAAAGAACAAAACTAACTAGCCCTAGAACAGAGCTAGACGAAAAATGCGTTTGTGGCTTAAGTACTTCTTTCTGCGATTTCCTGCTTTGTAAACGATGTTTAACTTCCTTCTTGCTGCACTAGTCAGTTACTTTTTGTATAAAAAAATCATAGAAGGACGTTTGATGGACCCCATCTATGAGATTTGCTTGGGACTGAGCGCCGCCCTAGGAATGACATATGGTTATACGAAGTACGCTTCTTTCAGGTGCCTCTCGGCCCTCACTGTCATAACCATGATTGGTAAAACTTTACAGACATTCGTCATTGTGTCGGTTGTAACGGGAATTTTCGTCGGACCAGGATTTTAAATTGCTCGATCTACGCGATCCGTTGTTGAATCAATTGCGTGTTTAATGGAAAAACAAATAGAGATGCAAGTGTATACTTAGATTAAGCTTGCAACACCGGTTGTCGGTGGACTTCAAAAACTGTTCGCTGATGACTCTTCAATAGAAAGCCTTCAAAAGTTGCAGACTGAACTTACTAAGGTTATAACAGATATCGATACAGAGTTATTAGGAGATAAGGACCAAGAAAAGGAAGTGGCCAAGGAGGTAAATGATGATGCAGACATGAGGTTGAGAGCTCCACTGCGATCTGAATAAATCAAATAAAAATATGCAGCCGCAAAAATCGCTACTGAAAAATTGGAAAATGAATACGCAGCTAAATCGGAAGCCCGCTGCGAAACCATCGTAAGCACTACAGTGACTGAGTGTATTAAAACTTTCAAGAAGTCTATTGATAATTGTTACACGAAGTTGAGTTTTTTTATTGACTGGATTGTCTGCCCTTAACTAGACTACTCCGCCGACTGCTACAAAATTCGTAACAAAGAAGGTGAAGGCAAAAGACTGAAATGTGATGAGATTGCATAGAATGAAAGAGGTTATGGGAGAGTAGTCAAAGCTTTTGAGGAACATTCATCATTATTCAACGGCTCTGTGGAGTTATCTTTGACCTATGTCCCAAATACTGATTTCGATATGAGCCTCGACTCGGTTAAAAAATAGACTGAAATTATAAAGAAAAAAGTTGTGCGGCAGCTTAACTTTGCTAAACAATGCTTCGTAATTTTTGAATGTTCCGTATTCATAAGCTTCCTGATCACTATTTTCGAAACAATGAACTACGTCAAGGGCTATTCTACAAATGTTAACTTTGATAACATATATTTAACGCCATATATCTACAAGCGTGATTTAAGACGACGACGATAGGGCAAGGAATGTTTACTGCCTTTAAAAACCGTAGAAGAGCAGAGCCTTGTGACTTCCATTTTCGAAAGCCGCTTGACCCAAGAGGAACGTGAAGCAAAGCATCAGCAGTATTTTTTAATATTAGTAATCATGCTGTTACTTTCTTTGGTTTTCATTTGCGATTGTTAAATTTATCACACGTCTTAGCTCTTTATGAAGCATACTAATATTTCCTACAATGTCAATTTACAAGTCAACTAATCTACGTAAGTGTACGGAGATAACCTCATTTCCAACCTCTTGCGGAAAATCACGCAAAGTTTCGATACAGAACTCGACGACAATCTGTAATTTAAAACAGAAGACTGCTTCCCTGAAGTTCACGAACCTCTTTACTATCAGTACGTGAGCTGCCTCTTCTTCTTGGTAGTGTCATTTGTATTTGCATAATGGATACCGTATTTTCTGCGATTACGCAGGTCTATCTGTTCTTTCTATTTTCCTGTTCGCGAACGTGAGAGGGTTCTCCACTTGTATGAAAGCCTGAGACGAAAAAGGAAAGCGTTCCTTCTTATTTTAAAGTAAAAAATAATGAGGGGCATTATAAACGGACGCATGGGGGAACTAAGAACTGTGCCATGGTGGGAGGAAGCAAGACGTTGGTCACCCTCATTAAATGTGTTGCTCAAAATGTTGGGATTTAAATACACTTGTATTATCTGTGATAATCCAGAAGAAGAAGGATTTTTTTAGTGCTCATCAGCCACCTGCGTGATGGTATACTGCGCACGCTGTTGGACCGACGTTGAAGAAACTTGTATCAACTGTCACATTACAGAACTGTCAGAATTCACGATGGATGACGTAACGTTCGCAATCAGTATGGCTTCCACATGATTTTATTACATGTGATTCCAGGTTTTAATTGTGCTGCGTCATGCGTCAAATGAGTAGTTTTCGGAGGGTAACTTGTCATTTCTTAGATTAATTCATTGAAAGATATTTTGTTTGTTCCTTTTTTTGTTCTGTTGTTTCTTGCTTTTTACTACAGCCCAATTTAAACCGCTTCAAAGGAAATGACGCGACTGTATGCAGCGAGTTAAAACGCTTGTGAAGCCTTCATTGAGAATTTCATTTTTAAATGATGCTAAATAAATCATTTTCCAGCTAAGTCGACAATATTTCTGAGCTTACAATTTCGATCGTCGTTCTGTTTGATTAATAGACGCAAAGAGTGTGGTCTGAGGAAAAGTAAATTTGTGAAGCTAACTTTCACTTTTTTACATATATGTAGTGAGGTTGCTATTAATCAGCTTAAATTTAGTTATCGTTTATTGTATAAAAGTAAACAAATAATCTTATTTTACTCTGAATTAATTTCTTCGTGATGTGGCTGTAACAATTTTCCGGTTGCCGCGTTGTTAGCAGTGTACAAACTTACAATGTTAATTTGTCGATATATATAGATTGAATAAGTTATTCTTTGTCCTGTTTATAATCAAGAAATCAAGAAACAATCGATCGTAAATATTTATGGTTACATTTCTAATCCCTGTTCGACAAATAATGATGAAAACTCAAATGACTGGTTCGTTGTATTTTGAACTACAAGTAGTTCGGAACGCGCAGTGAAATCGAGGAAATAATTTTATTTCGTCTATTGGTAGTCATCGAACTATACTATTTTATGATTAGCTAGTGGCTAAAATATTAACTTAATCTTACATATTTATTTTAAATACATAGAAATAAAATGAAGTTCTTCTAAACTTCTAAAGGAAGAGAGAGAACAGCGTGATCCTGACTCTATTGTCGCTATTGTAATGAAACCCTAGACACTTTTATTTGAAATCGCTAACAGGTGTAATTCACTGCAATCTAAGTGTCTGTTGTTATAAATCCTATTGTCGTATGTTAAGATAGAAACATCAGTTATAAAAGGAAGCAAATAAATACATCATAAAATAGTTGTGCGATGCCGTTTTTTGCTTCACAGCGCTTATTTGTTGATGGATGAAGTTGCATCTTGACTACGGGAAACGACAGAGTGCGACTGAGTGGAAGATCACGAGGAGGGTGTACGCAACCATGGACGTCCAGAGACAGCCTGAACTAGCGTGGATCATGGACGAAGTGTCCACTGGCAGGTTGTACATAGCAACCTGCAGCAATAATACATTTATTGAGTCATGAGCAACAATTTACGAATTTTCATGTGTAATAAAGTCCAGATTAAATTTAATATTCTGCAATTAGGCTCTAATTGGAACTCATGAATCTCGAAGGAATAATTTCAAACGGGAGCATTATTAGAAAAAGTAACAAAGGATACAATTTCAGTCAGTTTTTTTTCATCGGGATCAACATACCCTGAGATCGAGTTTGTCATAACAGTTGTCGGCTTTGCCGTTGACTGCGTTGATGCCCATGTTGGTGCAGGTAACCCTCATGCCCTCAGCTAAGGTACAGCAGACCGCCAAGAGCAGCAACGACGCCACGCTCATCGCCACAAGAATGATCTTCGTGTTGCGTTTCTGAGCGGCCTCCTCATGCTCGTCACTCGGGTCACCAAACAACTGCGGCAAAAATGCGTTGAGGAGAATTTATACAATGATGATCATAATTACAACGGCCTGCCACAATAAATGAATGAAAACTTGTTTTAGTTTATGCATTTTTGAGCTACGTCTTCAATGGATTATTCATGGTAATTAATAAATTGATTGATGAATGATGCACCATTTACAAAATTAAAGCATATGTCCTGAAAAATAACCGAATTAATCGAGTTTGTGATTATTTCAAACTTTTATGAAATTTTAAATTATTGTCACATTTAGTTAAAATATTAATGAACAAACGTATTTATCGCGAGACACAAGATTAGTTATTTAAAAATTTTGTTGTGATTCTTTGCATCAATCTAATTTTGCTCATGCTAGGACATGAAACGTGTCGCATCATCCGCATGACTTATGAAATTTTAACTTATGCATTCGTTTCCACGTACCTTAGGTACACTTTTTTATCTTAGCTTCAATGGGACGTAAAACTCACTTTCATCATGTAGAAGACGCCGCACATGAGGCCGATTGCAGCTGATGGCACGGCACCGTACGCCACCCAGTAGCAGTTGGACAAATTGCTTCCGAATTTGTACACTATGGAAAACCCATCGTATGACGGAGACTGTGAGAATCAGAACATAATTGCGTGAGAAACGATCCGGAGGCTTAATGTACAACAACAATACTTCTCTTCCCATTTTTGTTAAATGTACATTTACTCCTATTTATTTGCAGTTGTTTCTTTTGAATTACATTTTTTTAATATCTTTAGCTACCTGAAACGTACAAAAATACTTCTAAGTCGATTATAAGATTCAACCAATCTAATATTAAATGAATGGTTGCAATCGCTAATCGATCGCACTACTGCAAATATTCGAGAGGAATTTCCACTGGCCCGCCCCAAAATAATTTTGATTTTCCCCGAGTTTTTCGTAAATCTTTAATCACAATGTCACAATAAAAAAATACTTAAAGTGTGGTTGGACACCAGTCATCAAGATTTCGGTAAACTAATTTCAGCGCAAATTAGCTATTTATAATTGTTTTAAAAAGTGTTCGAAATTTATATAATTTTTTGCTTGATCCTGTACCTGGGCATAAAGGAAGCACATGGGGTGTGTGATGCCAGCCCAGTATGCCGTGATAATGCCCAGACAGATCATGCCGACGATGAGTGAGCAGAGGCCGAGAACGTAGAGAAAAGGAATCCCGCTCTTCCGGATCATGCGAAGTCCGCTGCCTGATTCATCGTAATAATCGTCCCGACGATTGTTCGCTCCATAACCTGATAGAAGCATCAGATATAAGTGTTCAGCGTCTACATGTCGATAGTATCTCACAGCAATTATCAATCTTGTTTAAAATTTACGATCTATTTCGATTACTGCCTCACATGAATCAGTTGATAAATATCCTTTTTGTGAGTATTTTTTAACAAGTATGCGATAAAAGCGCAGGAATATGAAGCACATCAACTCTGGTATTTATGATTTATATTACTTTCAGCCCTTAGCATCAAAATTTCCTTGTGTTTGTTGTACAAGTCGTTCGAAACGAAATTGTATTCCGACGGACTTCCGATTAGTGGGACATTTTTACGTTTCACCTTGACTGCAATTGCCGAAATATAAACTTACATTTGTCTTTCAACCTTATTCACTCCAAACAAATACTTTGAGAAATAATTTGCATAAAACTTGATGAGGAAACCGCTAAGTTATTTTGACTTTTACATAATTGCAATATTCACAAGTTAGATAAAATTCAGTAAAAATTGTCAGATTTTAAATATAATCCTTTACGATACGAATTCATTTTTAATAAAGCTGAAATTTTTGTGAAAGAGGGTGCAGTAGAAGATAAAATTTGCTTTCGTGGTTAGCGATTTATTTGTGTCAAATCTCAACGTTCCCCACCACTTTTGAGTTGAACTTAACTCAATTCATCGCGTTTAGTGTGCCGAACCTCCAGTAATTTGGTAAGAATTTATCATGCGTTTATGGTTAGTTTACTTCGTACATAGATATTGGGTTATTATATGGACTTTTCTATATTTTTTCGCAACGATGTTTTGTATTCATTCTAGAAACAAGTCAATAACGTCACAAAACTGCGTATTCATTTAATTTTCTCTACGAATTAAATTTGAAGAATCCCTAAAAGTTTATTTACAATTTGTTTTATACCGCTTCTGGACCTATCGGTCATTAATACTTGGTTGCGACTCACTCAATAATATCCGGTTCTCCCACATTCGAATTAAAGATGCACAACTAAAGTCAATTTTGAACAAACCTCATCCAACACATTCTTCCATACGCAAAACGCTCAAGACTTCACTGCAAATTTCGATGAAGAGACTTTTTGTACAGACACGCTGATGTTTTTCCCAATGTAATTCGATTCATTCTAGAATTGATTGTGCTCCCGTCAGGAGTATATTTTTATTCATTACTGAACATTACCAACATCAAGGTCAGGAAATAATAGAACTGTCTTAACACACATGTTGAGAGCTTTTGTTATTTCACAGCAACACAGATTGTAAAATACACTGGATGAAAGTAGTAGGTTGTTATATCTTATATATTCATAGGAAGTTCGTTTACGCGCTGACCCTCGCAATGATAAGATAAGGATAGCTTCAAGCGACTGGAGACCAAGTGCGTACCAGATCCTGGTACCGTGGGCGGAGTACAGCTTAACTCATGTCGTGCCCATTATCGATAATTACTGATGCATATTATGTAATGTAATATTATGCACGAGTTGTGAATAAGAATTTGTTTTCATGTCAGCAAATACTAGCATATTTATTCGACGTGTCTCGCGATTTTGAACCTTTAGACATCATCATTGTACTGCAACTATTAAGTTAAGTTGTTATTCTAATTCTTAATGTCTATCCAATCAAGACTTTAATTCAGCATGTCGAAGTTAAAGATTAATTTATCTTTCATAATCATTATTAAGATTACGAACACCGACTGATTGTTTCTTGAACGAAAGTTTGCGGTTGTAGACTGACTTAGTTAGCTTCGAAAAGTACAAATTTGCGAATTTCTCATAAGTTTTCATATTCGGAATTTGTACACTAGTACGAAATAGGATATTATATTATCATCCATTTACATGTAAGTTGTAACCATCGTTTGTGGAAATGAATATCACTGAAAACTTACTTTAAAGTGCCGTTTCCTATTCTTACTAAGTAAATTAGCTAACTATAGTACGTTAACTTACCTCCCATTGCTGTGAAACTTTGATAAGTTGAATGAAAATACAATTCGGGCACTTGTGTTATGCGGTTGTTCTTTAAACGCACTTGGAAACGGAACTGAGTTGCTGTTTGTAGTCATACGCTGGGCAAGCTCAACCTCACGTCCGTGATAAGTTATCTAATCGACCTATCTTGTATCTGATAATACAGTTTATTTCGTTGACTCAGCGGCCTGCGACAGACATTGTAGAAAAAAACGGACTTCAATGGTATATTTTTTCATATTTCTTCTAATCGCAAGCTCCAGCGAGACTAGCGTTTCATGAATCCGACTTTTATGACGCGCTAAATCCTACTTTATAACCAAAAGCCATGGCTTGATATGTTATTTTGATCAAATTTAATTCCACCATCTGACCGAATTCCTTCCTGCAATTCTTGACTAGTATTAGAATAGAATAGAATAGAAGTGTCGGCACTGAAGAAATAGGCCCATGGCCTGTTGCCGATTCATATGGTTTTTGTGACTTGATTCACAAGGGATCCGGCCTTTGGAACCCGATCTTTTCATAACTGACGGTTGATTGACTTATTGCCTGGTATTGCATCCGTGAGATTAAAATCTCAAGTCTAGAAAAATTAAAGCAAGAAATATAGAAGGAACTCGCAACGTAATAATCAAAATCCTCAATGGTCACGATTCAAACTTCAACCCTTCGTCTGCAAATACATTAACCGTCTTCAATGCTATTCGTATCTGAAAGCCTAGTAACGAAAGTTGCCCTCGTTAGACAAACGGCCACAGGAATTTCGACTCTTTTTTTATTATGGTTATATAATATTTACAGTTATTCATTGCACATGTTTTACATTGGAGACACTAGATTTTTTAGAACTTTAAAAATTAATTTTTTATATCTTTAATTTTTTTAATTAAAAATTAATTTTTAAACGTATATTTTAATGGCTTATATTTTATCAGTCTATTATTCTAAACCAAAAATAGCAAGTAAAATGTCACCAGTATCAAAGTTGCCTTGCTAAATTCGTTAATTTGAAACCCCAATGTATTATATGTATATTTCTTCTTTACAAAATTCTTCCTCGGTCTGTACAAGAGGAGCGCTCCAGTTAGGCAGATCCGCTCCACCGCGCCACTAACGCTGTAACATCGTCGATTGCTGGTTGATTACGTCGTAATGTCTTTAATGACGTTGAGTCGACGTCTAATGATTGCTGGGACTCAATTTTAATGAATAATGATTGACAATGTCGTTTGAAAAAATGCATTTTAACAGCGGCAAAATCAAAAGAACGGAAATATTTCTGCTATAATTTCCCCGTAAAAACTTCACGCTAACAAATAATAGGCAGGCAATGATGACGTTATTCGCTGTTTTCCTGCTTTATTTTATTCCATGAACACTTGACGCGTCGATAGTAAATTATTGTCTAACACTTTATGATTGAAAATATTTACTATTTTCTTGTTTCTAACAAATTTTGATAAACACTAATACTAGTGCTGGATGTGAACTTCCACACTTTATAAATCGCATAACATGGAAATGGAAAGCTTAAAATATTGACGTCGTTAAAAATTATAAAAAAAGTTCATCGATATATGGTAGGAAGTGAGGTGCTATATACATTTAATTAAATGTAAAATAATGGTTATGCTTTATATTCAATTCAAATTAATGCCCTATCAAGACATTAATTGAAGTTATCGTGACCCAAAATGAAATCAGTGCAAAAAACAGTCACATTCTCAGAAATAAAAACAATTTTCAGATTTTTTTTCAGACCCGTGTAATCAAAGTTAAACTTGTAAGAAAAGCAGACTGGGTTACCAGTTTTTCCCGGTGTATTTTTGCGGTCGTTCCTGAGT